GGCCTGGGGCCAGGTCTGCCGGGCAAGAGGCCAGGGAAAAGAAAGCCTTCCTCAGTAAACTGCAGCCACCATGTGTACCACATAGGGGTGCACAGATCCCACCACAGTTACCAGCTTCTCGCTTCTCATCCTACTTCCTGTGGCAAAAGCAGCAACAGACACTAGTATTTCTCATGACACCCAAGCCAGTCTGGGGCCTTCTAGGCATGATTGGGCCCCTTCTTTGCAATCATGCATTGGGTCCATCCCAGATGCCGCCCTGGATGTCCCTCCAGAGATTGGGCTTCTTCCTTGGTACTCTAGAGCTGACCTGGAAGTGATTGCATCCAGGTCATGTAAGTTTACTGACCTACATTCAAGTTCGAAGGAGCTTGGTTGGTGTGGGGGTGTGGGGAGGCAGCAGAACCCACTGGGCAGACAAGTTCAGAGAGCTCAGATTTGGTCAGGTCGTGTGTATTCGACAGATAGCATGCCCTCGGAATGGGAGGTTGTCTGACGAGGTGCTGTGCTGACTGTCCATATGTGGTGTCCCTGCTGAGGGTTCTCACCCTATAGACGTGAGCTGCAGAGAAACATGATAGTCAGGATAGCCCACAGGAAGCTGGGTATGGCTACTGGTCTCTAAGGAGGTTTCCTAGTTGTCTACCATCTGCTTGAAGTGACTAGAGAGACCTTGAAATGGAATCCAGAAGAAAAGGAAACTCCACACAGGAAACATAAGCCCAAGTAACTGTGTTTGGAATCGGGGTGTTTAATTGAAGTCCAGCTGCTGGGTAATGTTATCTGGCAGCTCCTGAAACCAGAGGGGGGTTTATCTGTAGAGGTAAACAGAGCTGGCTTTCTCCAGTAACCTCTGCCCTCTCCACCTCAGACACCTGCTCTTTCTCCACAAACTATCTGCAAAGCAGGGCCAGGCAGAGCGTCTTTAAGAAGCTCTGGCCTTGGGGTGAGGGGCAGGAGTGTGCTGGGGCGAGGCTGGAATTCTTTGTGTTGCTCATCTGCAGTGATAATCTTTGCTATCTAAGGTTGGGAAGAAAACAGAGCAAGCGCCTTGTCACGATAGAGTCTGGAGTCTGTCTTCGGATCTCTGGTCTTATCTACAGGAGGAACTGTCTGCTTCCCAGGCTACCGACCTATGGCATGTCCCAGAAATTTGGGGAAACCTGAGGATGGGAGCCTGAGAGGTCTCACAGCCAATGAAGTGGGTGCTGAGAGCGAGATCCAGCTGGGGCTGGCACCAGAATTCTCTCCTCATTTGGCCATCCGCCACTTGACAAGTCACTGCCTTGAGCCCTAGATTCCACCTCTGCCAAAAAGGCAACCTCTTACCATGTGCCCTGTAACAACTAGCAGGCCTCCCTGTGTCTCCCAACCAGCAGGCTTCCAGCATCTCCTGGCTACCAGGACTGCCTGCATCTTTTCAGCAGCCGGGGCGGGAGCCTGTGATTTATTCTCCCTGGGAGGTGAAAGGGAAACCCGTAATTACCACATAGGAAGGAGCTTGGGTGTTAAGCCCCGGTTAAGTCGTTCCCCAGCTCCGCTTCACAGGCCCAAGAGAATGGTCCAGTTTAATGACCTGCAGGCAAGTCCACCCTGTTCTTTCTCTCTCTCCTAGTGGGCTTGGCCACTTGGGGACACCAGGCAGCACCTGGTGCAGGTACACATCTGTTTCCTGTGGAGCTGCCTGCAGCAAGGAGACATTCAGGTGGACAAGGGGCAGGGTGGTAAGGTGATTAAGATCCTGATGAAAACCCAGCTCCTCTTCCAGGGTAGCGGGGAGCTGCTGTGTCTGAGGGGTAGATTTTGCTGCCTGCCGGAACCCTGGTCTCTCTCTGATCCCCAGGTTCTGCCTTTGGTTGTTTGAGGGCTCTCAGTGTGGCTCTGACTCTTCTCTAGGCCAGCGGTTCTCAACCTTCCTGATGCTGTGACCCTTAAATACAGTTCCTCATGTTGTGGTGCCCTCCAACCATAAATTATTTGTTCCTGTTATGAATTGTATTGTAAATATCCGTGTTTTTCAATGATCTTAGGAATCCCCTGTGGAAGGGTCGTTGGACCCTCAGGTTGAGAGCCAGTGCTCTAGGCCCTTCCCTGCCCAGATGTTTGCAGACTTCTCTGTTATCTGAATGAAGCTTTAATTTAAAAGGTGTTTAGTTCCTATCATGTCATTTGTCTTAAATGTCTACAGACCTAAATTTACATATAGAGAACTAGACCTGTGGCTGTATTTTATTCTCTTCAAAATTAAAGTTTAATCACCATTGTAACAATAGGAGGGGGAGGACCTTAAATAGGGCACAGCCTTCCTGAACGGATTGATGTCCTTGTCATGGATCTGGCTTCGTGGTAAAAGGTTGAGTTTATCCTCCTTTCCTCTTCCTGTCTCTTGAACTCAGCCTTCTCTCTTGAGCCCAGGACGACTCTCCACAGCCGCCAACACCGTGCTCCTGGGCTGTCCAACCTCCAGAACCAAAGCAGCTCCTAGTGTTTATAATTTATCCTACCTCAGGCAGTGGTAGAAAACTGAATACCCAGTATGTCGAAGACACGGGAAAGGCTCAGGTTTGGTTCACATCTTCTGCATATTTTATTGGCTGTGTGACTTTACTTAGCATCTCTGCGCCTCTCCTTCCTCCTGTACCATACGGGGATAATTGAGAAGATTAAATGAGCTGATACATGTAGATACTTTATACCTTACCGGCATATGCTACCGTTTAGATACCTAAATGATTTTGTATGAGATAAATGCTTGCATAAGGCATACAACAGTGCACGAGCACACACACCTATCTGTACGCGTGTCCATATACTTATGTGTGTTCATTGTTTTCTCGCTCAGGGTCTCATGTAGCTGAGGCTTGTCTTGAACTCACTTTATAGTTGAGGATGACCTTGAACTCTTAATTCTTCTGCCTCCACCTCCCAAATATTGGAATTATAGGTACCTACCACCGTGCCTGGCTTTAAAAATATTATTATTATTTTCACTGCTGAGACTACAGCCCAAGGCCTTAAATATGCTGGATAAATGTGTAACCACTAAGCTATATATAGTCAACTCATATTTAGTACAATAATCCAGTAGTTTGTTCTGAGCTCATGTGGAGCAGGGCTGGCCTTTAACTTAATGTTTTTTCCTTATCAGGACCTCTGCTCATTGGTACTCCATCTCTAGGTGGTGATATCTACCTAGAGATATCTAGGTGATATCTAATTTCCTAGCTTTAGGGCCTTCTCCGTCTTTCAGAGTATTCTCCACACCATGAAGGCAACTGTCCGCATTACTTTTCTATTGCTGTGATAGGCCACCATGACCAAGGCACCTTGTAAAAGAAAACATTTAATTGGTCATACAGTTCCAGAGTGTTGGGGTCTACAATGGTGAAGCAAAGGCATACAGTGGCCAGAGCAGCTGCTGAGAGATCACGTCTTGATCCACAACCACAAGGCAGAAAGTGAGGCACTGGGAATGGTGTGTGTGTGAGTCACACTCCTCCTCTAACAAGGACACACCCCCTGCTCCTTCCCAAACAGTTCCACCAACTGGGGACCAGAACATTCAGACATACGAGCCTATGGGGACCATTCTCATTAGAACCACCACACTGACTCTGTGACTTAGCATGGAAAGGGAGGCAGAAGAGTATTCTTCATAAAGCAACAGGCCTCCTCCACGCTTTTGTGTGCAAGCTCTGCTCTCCTGCTGGGGAGTTGCACCAGTCTGTCCACAGTGCCTAAATGAGTCTCTCTTTTGAAGTTTCTCCTCCATGTATCCCAGGCCCTGGCTTCTCTGACTCTGAGGTTTTCACTAGAAGGACCTGAATTCCTACAGAGCCTGAGTAATTCTGTTGGACTTGCAGATATGGGAACCTTTACTGGGGAGACTTTTCGTCTCTCCGGAGGTCACCTCCCTTGTGTCCCATCTGTGCCGGGGAGGGCAGCAGAATAGTCCATGGCTGTGGGTATGTATGTGCAGTCTTCAGAAGTTTAGACTTCGTCCAGGGCTGTAGAATCGAAACAAGATACACTGTGTGGACAAGGAGCATTCTCTCCTTTCTCAGAGACCTCCTGAGCTAGGTGGCCTTCCATGGAGGCCTGGGCTGTAGCTCTGTGTAGTCTACCAGGGGACAGCCTAGACTTAGTGTCCTTGCCTTGTAAGGCACCCAAGGAAAAGCTTGTAGATCTTCTGTGTGTGCACTCCAACTCTCCTGTGAAATTGCTTCTTACACCCGATCTGCCGGCTTCCTTGGTCAGTGTTACAAGTCTTTCTGTGTGCATGCTCTGTGAAGGGCAGTGAGCCTGGGTGTTAGGAGGCGGGCTGTGCGGAGGCTGAGTTGAGCCACACATCTCTGGTCTGCCCAGGTCTGTCCATTTGGAATTTTAAAGCATGAGGCTCATGGACCTGCAATTTGGGAGGAGCCTTCATAGAGTCTCATTCACTCTGAAGTTCGAGAACCAGTGGGGAAAAAAAGTGGGGGGGGGGAGACAAGGAATCCATATGATGTAACCATAGGGCGCACGTGCACACGTGTGTGCATGTGCATCTGTCTGTCTGTCTGCCCTTTACTTTTTGGTTCAATCAGGGGTGAGGAATCTTAACCACACACTCCTACCACCAGCAAGTCTACCATTCTTTTCCCATCATGGTAGAGTGCACCCTTAAACCATGAGTCAAAATAAACCTTATTTCCTTATGCTCCCCAAAATGTAATGACCTCAATTTTATGTTTATTATCCATTAATGACACTTAACCTTTTTGTTTTAACCCTATATTAAGAGAATCTTCTTATCATTTCAGTGAATGCTTCATCACATACGTGGAGTGTGTGTGTGTGTTGACATTCATTGTAGAGTCCACAGGCTTCCTGACAGTGAGCCAGGTCCTGGTGACAAATGAGGGAGACAATGGTCTTGGCTGTGACACTCCTACAGTAACATTAAACAGGGCCTGGAGCCCTGTCCTGGTCACTCCTCACCTGTCCCTCTTCTCCCACAGGTATACATTATCAACGTGACCTGGTCCGATTCCACCTCCCAGACCATCTACCGGAGGTACAGCAAGTTCTTTGACCTGCAGGTGAGTTAGCAAGAGCCAGCTGGCGGCTTGAGTCTCTGATGGGCTCCTCGTCCATGTCCACATCCTACTGGAAGGCCCTGGGCTGAGCTGAGGGCCAGAATCCAGTCTGGCACAGAAGGGCAGATGCGGGGATCCCTACCGAGCAGCTGAGCAGCCGAGCAGCCGGGCTTGTTACTGTCTTGACTGCTGTGTGCAGACACTTGAGGCCTTGTCCCTTTCCATCATGGCCCTTCACAGTTCTGCTTTGTCATCCTCCCTTGGCATTGGATGGAAACCATGGGGAGGCAAGAAGGCAGTTGTGGGCGCTGAGTGCCGGGGCAGACATCTCTATAAACATCCATGATGAGCCACCACAAGCCACCACATCATTGCTAGTAAAGAAAAGCAAACACACAGAGAAGACCAAAGCTAAATAAGCAATTTATAGAACTCCATGCTGGGCATACCACCGGGTCTGCCTGTCTACCCAAACAAGGGGCCTGCCACCCAGTTCGTACATGTGGCATGTACATGTTCGTAACCGTGTATCTCTACCTCACATGGGCATGTTTCTTCAGCAAGACGGTAGCATATAGCCACACTGTACTATCAAATGCACCCCTTTGATGCTGGCTGATGAGTTTTAGGGTCTTTTGGTGACAAATGAGTATTTTATGTTCACACTGGGCTTAGACAGTAGTACTTGAGAAGTTCATGCAGTGACCAGATGGTGAGAACCACACTGGGGTGGTGGGGCTTCCACAAAGCCCACACTAGGGTCAGCTGTCCCTGCCTGGTCTCTGCTTTTCTCCAGGAATGTCCTTGGCCATTGTTAATTCACACACCGATGAGCTAAAGCCGTCGTAGCTCTTGATTTTTACATATCTGTGGCTCCCAGCGTCATAGACACTGATTATCTCTTCTTTCCAAGTTGATAAATCCCTAGGAAGACTTTGGTCAGATACCTTCTTTGGCCCAATCAGAATGCCCAGAGGTGGAGAGGTTCTTGGAGTGTAGCCGTGAGCCCTGGCGGGGTGAACGGGGGTGTCACTCTTGCGCATCAGAAGCAGGTACTGGGGTATTATTGTGAATGGCAGCACCCTTCCTGTATGTGGAGGGGAAAGCCGAGACAGTGGGGATTCTTCCTTAGAATGTGAGTGTGATTTAGAGCCACAAAAACACAGAGAAGAGGCATTCGTTCCTAACCCTACAACCAGCAGCCAGTCCTTCAGCCCCTTAGCAATGGGCTGTCCTGGAGAGGGAGGTGCAGGCCTATGTGTTTGTGCATCGATATCTGCTTTCACTTCATGACCCTTCTCACTGTGAGACAAACCTTTTGAAGAGCCAGCTTCTCAGATTATGGATCCTTCTGGTTCAACGACATGGGCTTGAATTTGTCACTGCGTGTGGGAATGGAAGCACTCATGACTCCTGCCTGCTGCTTCTGCCCCTCTCAGCCCTGCCCAGTCTCCTAGGTCTTTCCAGGATAAACTGGTGGGCTTTGCCTGCACCCCATCAATGGGTACAGTGTGTGGGGACAGGAAATGATAATGCAGCTGGGCAGAGTCTGGACCCTGAAAGGACTCATTGATCAGCTGGAAGGAGTCTAGAAGCCTGGGGAAACTCCCAAATCAGAATTTCTATTCTGGTTCCACCCCCTCCCAAGTTATAGAATCACACAAGAAAGGAATGCTGCCCCTCCACCCGCCACCCCTGCCCGAGGACTCTCTGTCTCCTATCACTGTTGGAAGAGGAGACACAAGCATGGAGCAGCTGTGACGTGCTGGCCCTGGCCCTGGAACGACGACGCTTGTGGCCAGGCTTGTCTGAGTGGGTTATCCTCTGACCCTATGCATACAAGTTCCACACCTATGGGTTCAGTTACTTCCAGATCAGAGATTTTATTTATCTGTGGTGAGGCATGCGTGTGCCACATGTAGAGGGTAGAGGACCACCTGAGAGAGTTAGTCGTCTCTGTCCACTGTGTGGGACCCAGGGATCAAACTCAAGTCATCAGGCTTGGCAGCAAGCACCTTTACCTGATGAACCATCTCTCTGGCCCCAAATGTACTTTTAAGTCAGGCATAGTAACACATATTTATGATCCCAGCACTTGTGAGGTAGAGGTGGGAGGATAAGGAGTTCAAGGCCATCCTCAGGTAGAGAGCAGCCTGGGCTACTTGAACCCCCCCCCCTTTTTTTAAGAAGGCACTGATTTTTCCCTTCCATTCTGAATGTGTACAGCTTCTTTTCTTTGCCGTTGTTCCACAGTGCAGTGTAGCAGCCACTTAAGTAAGATGTGTTCCGAAGGCGTCCCTTTTCATCTTGTAGCATCCACTCATATACTCTGGCTTTCTCAGTCACTGGGTTGCTGGCCTGACAAGATGACTTAGCAGGCAAAGGTAACCTCCATGCTGGATGGCTTATCCATGATGGATGGCTCGCTTCTATCTCCGGCAGCCATCCAATGAGCATCAAGCATCAACTTGGAACAGCTGTCCAGAGCCCCTCAGAAAGCCAAGGTAGATTCCAGAGAAGGCTTCAAGAGCACTTTAGAGGTCAAGGTGGAGAAGCAGGGTCTTGCTTCTTCTATAAATAGCTTACAACTCAGCCTTCTATGAGCAGGGGAGGGACCTACCCACAGGGAGCTGGTCAGGTTATGGTCTCATGCCCAAGTTTGTTTGGTTATAAAGGATCTGCCTGGAGATGCCCTTAAGCTAAGCAGGGGGCAGACAAATGGCCACACATGCCCCTTTAAGTCAACCTCCGGTTCCCCATACCTGTCCCGTGATCTAGCCCCACCAAAGAAGGACAGGGAGGCTCCCGGGCCTGGCTCCATGGATGACTGTTTCATAACCTGGCCTGCCAGCCACTGGGCTGCAGTGATTTCTCTGCAAACATTGGCTCATGTGCTGTTGGCCCCAGAGAGGGACCCCTGGCAGTGAGTGCAACTGGGTCAATATTTGGTCAGAGCCAGGAAAGGCCCTTAATCTTCCCCCGCACCACTTGGAGACAGCCGGAGAGCCGGAGAGCCGCTTGAGGCTACTTACTTGCTCTAAGGGCTTCAGCTGTTTGGAAGAGCTTTTATCTCTCTTCCTTATTCAGCTCTCCTGCACTTTCCACCCACGTACGCACGCACGCAGCGTGGCCACACTCAGTTCCCAGCCCTTGAATAGCCTGGTTAATGATGGCTGAACAAAGCTATAATCCCTGAACCATTAATATTCAGCCCTGGAGTGATGTGCTGTGCATGTTTATTTGTATGTATGTGTATGAATGCACATGTGTGTGCAGGCCAGAGGCTGACACTGTGTGTCTTCTTCTGTGCCTCTTCATCTTGTTTATTTTGAGACAAGGTCTCTAACTGCACCTGGGTCTTGATGATTCTGCTATATTGGTTGGCCAACATAGTAGGACACTGAATCTAGATGAGAGGTAGCCATGCACGTGTGCGTGCGTGTGTGCGTGCGTGGGTTAGAGAACAACATGTGGGACTCAGTTCTCTTCTCCTCTCCTATAGATTCCAGGGTTCTTGCTCAGGTTGTCAGGCTTGGCCTGGTGCCTGCTAAAGGGTCTCACCCACTGATACATAACTATTTTAAAAGTTCTAGAAGGAAGTACTCCAGATTGGTGACCGTTACATCTAGATGGATATTAGATTGATTGGGATCGATGGAAAAGAGACTTAGTCAAATAGGGAACTTCAAACTCATCTGTGAAAAACAGAATAGTGAATAAAGAGAAGTCTGGGGAGAAGTAGGAAAGTGGGAAATCTAAAATAAAAAATGTCTCTTGCAGTTGTTACTGTAACAGAAAACAGCAGGCTTGGTAAAATTGTATCAAGAATGCATTCATATAAGAGAAAGAAAGTGAAAATAATAATTTGAGTTACATTACCTCATCCTTCCTGGACCTTCATTCTAGATCATTCCTGCGGAATGTAACTGCTTAGCTCTCATTGTAACAACCCCAGGGACCTATCCAGATTATCTTGTCAAACTGGAATCTTGTATTCAGATACTACTTACAACCCATGAGCCAAGCACTGGAAGAGGAAGCCCGCTGGTAGTGGTGCTCTGGTCCTGATAAAGTGGTAGTGACCCAGGTAGGGGCACAGTGGTTAGAAGGAGCAGCATCCAGGACTGAGATGACTGGGTTCCAAAAGCCAAGCTCCAGCCAGCCTCACTGTTGACAAACCCTCTGATGAGCTCTTTAACCTCCCTGTCCCCATTTCCTTATCTTAAAGGGAAGTCATTATAAAGGCCCCTCTCCTAGGATAATAGAAAGGACGAAATGATAGATTCCATGTGAAGAAAGCCGTTAGAGAAGGGAGGGTAAGCTTCTTAGGGAGGAAGGCAGAAGCTTCATGAGGTCAGAAACTTAACTCTAGGAGGAAGTAGCCAGGGATCCCCACCCCAACTGGAGACACAGGCTCCTTCCTGTGTCCCTTGTTGCAGACTTCACTCTGGCCAGACAATGTGTGGTCTGCTCTTTGGCTGGAGGGGCAGATGGCAGTGTGAGGATTTCCCTTAAAGAAATAAACACTTTTCATCTCCACAGTTTAATTACCAACCTGCTTCCTCTCAGCCACGCTGTTAGGAAAACGCTAGGTTTTGTTTTTTTTTATTTGTTTCTGTTTTTGTTTATTTTTAAGCATTTATTGGTCCACAGTTTTTCCTTACCCTTGTTGGTCATAGAACATGGAAGGATTCCCAGGAAGCTCTAGAGGACTCCATTGGTCCCTGGTAATTCCATTCCCACTGGGAGCTGGCTTCAGGCCCTTTCCTGTGCCTCTGGGGCTCTAAGTGAACTCCAGCCTATCTCTTTCCCCTGGCAGGTCCTGCCTGAGGGAGGGTGTGCCAGGGCAGGGGGATGGCTGTGTAGGGATGAGAGGAGAGGCCCTGGGTGAAATGGTCCAGTAGGTCAGCTCAGGGTGGGAAACCTTGCTGCTAACTTTTTGCTTTTGAGTTACCTTGTAGTTGGGTCCACTGGAAGTCTTTGGAGCCGGGTGGTGAGGGATG